CAAATTCATGAATCCCCAAAAATGATGCTTACACTTTGGTCATTTTTTAATCCAAAGCGTGTTCAGCTGGCCGATTTTTCATTTGCTAATGATCAGTGCTGTTTTGCTTTGTGTCCAGCCAAGCGGCCATTCAAGCCGAAAGTTCGTCTTTTGTCCTGAACAAGTTTTCAGCTCGAGAGTTCCTCTAGCAAAAGCAACTGAAAAGATTTTAACCCAAAAATAATGATTTTTTTTACTCATAAGAATTTGGCTTCTGAAAACTGTTAACGAATAGAAAAAAAAGCGACACACTTTCTGCTCGTAATCAGATTTTGCTTCTGTCGCAAATAATATCGTTCCATGCAGAAAATTGGAAAGAACTTTTTTTTTTTCGAGTTAAAGTGTGTTAAATGTTCACAGAGTCCGGAAATAAAGCGCTAGGGCATTTCACAACAGCTAGAGCCACTGCTGATTATGCTGTTTCATTTCAGCGAAGTCTTCCTGTGAATGATTGTTTGTTGCGAAGCCGTGGTAACGCAAAATATACGATTTCAGCAGATTTTGAAGAGGTTTTTGTAACTTTCAAAAATTTTACTTTATTCGAAATGCTCGAAAAGCAACAAGGGATGTCTCAAAAGTCGGGATCATATGTGATTCGTAGTACTTCGGCTTATTATGAGGTGGGTTCTTCTCTTTTTTTTTTTTGCTATTCGTCAAATTTAAAAGTACTTTGAGGTTAATATTTATAGATATTAGTGCAAGAGAAAATACGTTTAATTTTTAACAGGTTAGTTTTTTATTGCAGTTTTTGTTTTTAAGTCGTACTTTTTTTGTTTTGCTATCGACAGTTTCCTAACTGTCAACGAATTGAAATGAATGATTAAGTAATGAAGTAATTAAATTCAAATGGATTGAAATAAATAAAATGACTTGATGAGATGAAAATGGATTCTTTTAAATGTTAACTTAATTAAATGATTATATAGCGAAACTGAAATGATTCGATGGAAATAACCTGGGCGATTAATGATAATGAATTATATTATTTGTGAATGGAAATGTCTCCGGTTGTGATTTCTAAAGTTCCGCCAAAAACGACCTCCTTCCCTTCCCCTGCTCTTGCATTTAAATAATAATAGATGCTTATGTGAAGGAACTTTACTGCACTAATGTTTATTTCATTTTATATTTTAGCATCAATGGGACAGTGTTACGAATCCGGCTGACATTGATTTTAGCATTTTTGCAAGAATTTCAGTGCAGCAGAATATTTTTGAACATAATGTTCTAAGCAAAGTAAGCTTAATTTTCAAAATTCAGGAAAATTAAAGGATATAACTTATTTTTTTTAGAGTATTTGTAAAAATATGTAAAAATATTTTTGCATCCTTGGAGCAGACTTTGGACCACGTTCAAATTCTCGAATATATCCGAGCGTTTCTATATTTTGTTCTTCTCGCTTTGACAATTGGTACTTTTAAATAGCGAAAGCGTGATAAGAAAAAGAAAACGGATTTAAACCAAAGTGAACAACTATTTCATCCGCAACTGCCGGTTTTACACAACTTTTTTATACTGTTTTTTGTATTCATCATTCTCTCCCACGTCTTTTCTTCTCCCTTCCACGTTCTGCTATTACTTCCTTCTTTAAGCCAAACTGGCTTTTTCTAGTGGCTTTTTCTAGTACCAATGGATCCAAAAGGTGTATTCAGCCTGTTGGCTGTCAAACTCATGAAGCGTGAGTTTTTCTCCGTTAAAACATGAGTGAGTAACATATTGTAGTGAAACATACCAGGAAAAAAATTTTTGCTTGTGAACTGAGTTTTACAAATTGCAGGTAATTGCAATACCGGAACACGTTTACACGTTGTATTGGTACTACACAATGCAGGTTGAATTTGATAGGGCTAATGCAAATACTATGATTCCGGCTGACACAGCACTAATTTATCGCCTGGGGTTAGATTTTTATGCTTTTTGCATAGGTTATCCTAAAAAAGTGTAATTGCGAGATCGTACGAAACTCCGCAGTGATTCAGTCTCAGAATTACAAAACTGTTTTAGGGATGCTGAAATTTTATTCTATTTGTTCTCCCCTTTAGCTCCCCTCACTCTCAGATGTCCACTCTCCACTTAAAATTCAATTTTTTACACTGCGCTGGCTAAGCCCAAAAAAAACCTCGCTTTGTTGTTCTTCATTTTGCGTGAAGGAGGCTTTTTACTAAGCATCCAGTTGATATAGCTACGTACATATCTGTCGAGCCATCCAAAAAAGAAATCCTTGGTTTTTGGCTTTTTACTTGGCACACGTTTGTTTTTTGTTTACCGTCGCTAGCTGCATAGCAGGCATGCTGCCTCCGTATGTCACAAACGGATTCCTTTTTCAAAAATGGTGCTGAACCGGAAGGGAATCGAACCACTTCTCTTCGCATTCGAATGCAATGTACTACCACTACACCACTACTCCTGTGGTCCAAATTCACCCTAGTAGCACACCTACAGTGTATCTGCTTTTCAAA